TAGTAGTAGTAGTAGTAGTAGTAGTAGTAGTAGTAGTAGTAGTAGTAAGCAAGTTCACTCAGTTTTCATAAGGGATAATTCCAATTACTGTAAGTTATTCAGCAAACCTCCTGAGTCTAGAAAGCAGCCTGGGTTAAAACCTTGTTTCCGACCCACCTAAACTATTCAGGGTGTAGGGCCAGAACTTTAAGCTTGCAAACCACAACAAGCCCAAGCACATGTTGTTGGATTGACCATGCATGATGATTCATGGATTAACTGTTCTACTGTCCTATGTTTTGGTTGGTAGTGACCGGTGGATCTCATGCGGTGGCAACCCATGTCTTTTGCGGTTTCACAAGGCTGGCGGCTAAGACTGGAGTTGCCAAGCACTGGCCACCGATCCGTTTGGTGGTGAAGAATCGGTGAATCCTTTCATGACAAGCAAAACTAGGGGAAGTCTCCAACAATCACAGTCCCATGGGCAAAGCATATGACACAACTATACAATAAATATGTTATAACATGTTATGAATAGACATACATAGACATTTTAACATATATTAATGTGAATATGATATATATATATATATAATATGTATAATCACTATCACTGTTCACTATCAGGCAATGATCACTATTTTAGAGAAAGGCCTGCAACTGAACCATCATCCACTGTTACAGGTCAGAGGATAGACCCAATATGAACCCTAGGGCTCCAGTCGTACCTCCTCAGAAGGTATGACTGGACCCTCCTGGCACCTACCCCAGTCCCACCTTCTCAGAAGGCACGACAGGAGCCCTAGGGAATACTCTCACTGTAGAACTAACATGCAAGTGGAATGGCACCACCTGTGGTGGATTTCATGGTCTTCGGAACTCGGGGTCAGGCCCTCCACGTCACCATGGGGCCATTCCAGGCGTCAACCGGAGCCCCAACTCTTGCGTCGAACCGCCGCCGTCGAACGAACGGCGCCCTTCGGCTCCCGCCGTTCGGCTCCAGTGGCCCGGTGCAAGACCGGGCACCGGGGATCCAGGGGGAGAGGATCCCCACGGTGCGCAGAGATCCAGGGCCTCTAGACCGGACCAAGAGATCCACAGCTTGGCTGGAAGAGCCAGGTGAGCCCGGAATGAAGGTGCTGGTGTGAAATGACATGTGTTGGAGGCCATGGCTTCTAGGTAGGTTGGAGGCCAGCTGCTATTAGAAGATATTAGAAGAGAGGAGGTCGAACCGGGGGCACGGTTTGGAGGTCGAAGTGATTGGATGCTCTTGAACTCATTGCTTGGGACATGTCGTCGATATCAGGATGTCAAGATTGTGAAGGAGTTCATGTTGCCCCTTTGAAAGAGGAAAACAGCTGTGTCAGTGAGGGGAATCTTTCTGTACCAGACCCAATGCTGGCCTATCTTCTCTAACAGCTTTGCACCTCTAGAATTCATGACAAGATTTCCAGTGTCCTGGGTTATGTTAACCCATCAATCTATATAACAACCCGTGATTGGTTGGGGCTGTAGATAAGTCCCTACCACCTACCCCCCGGAAAACTAACATGGAACCTGAGAATTGACTGGTGGAAGACCACTTTCTTTTACAACCCCAGTGTTTGAACCGGGTTCCAGCGACAGTACTGACGCGACAGTACTTAATTGGCGGGTTCCAAGCCACGGACGCTTCGACCTCGTCATGGCGTGGAAGTCCAAAGAAGCGATGGTTTCTCGGCGGACGAAGGGAAACAACAGGAAAGACCCGGCTGCCGAAACACATTGAAGAAAGTTTGGCGAAGACCCGGTGTTGTGGTCGAAAGTCCATTCGTGATTCGAATGCCAGAGCAACATCTCTTAAACTTACAAGTTCAATTGAAAGAACCAACACCATCTACGGTGCCCCCCGAGCTCACACATAGTTCGAGCTTGGAACAAAAGTGGCTCCTTCAGAGTTTTTGCAACATTCCACTGTTTGTTTAGACGAAGTTAGTAATGAGTAATGGGCAATCATGGTACGTAACATAATGTAACATATGGGAACCAGACCGTTCAGCCAGCTAGTAGATATACTGGTTCTCCCGGTTTGGTGACACACCACACCGAATTTAGTTCAAATTGATGAACCAGTTGCCTAAAAGCATCTAAAAGTAAAAGCCACCAAAACCATCTTTAAACAATTTCAGCCATGCTTCTTGCTTGAGCTTTGCCTGGAAAACTGCCGGAACCACCAGCCCACCCACCGAAAACCGGAACCCCCGCGCCGTTTCGCTTGGGCTCGGTGCGTACGACCGGCCGTCACCGGAACCACGAGGTCGTGGTCATCGATGTGGGGGCGTCGATGCAGGAAACCTTCAGCGTGGTGAAGGATGGCAGCAAGGTCCACTCCTCTCGGGTCGAAGTAGAGGTCGATATTCCGCAGATGGTCGCCGGGCCGGGGAAAGGATGGGGTGATGCCGGTGTTTTTTTCTTCCGAACCTGGCGGTGGGTGATTTTGGGGGCGTTGACTTCATGTTACTCCACTCACCAAAGGGGGGTCAAATCCAAGAAGTGCTTGGATCGCAGGGAACCGCCGTGATTCACCTCACCTGACATGTCGCCATGATTCTGTGTTCCTTCAGTGGATATGATTGTGTTTTTAATTCTGATGCGGAACGAGGCGGCAGACCGAGAAAAGGACACGACTTCTTGTGTGCTGTCCATGCTGAGCCGACATTTGGGACGGATCGAGCTTTGACTTCTGTGTCGGCGAGAGGGGGATTTGGGACAATTCTGGGATCGGGGTAAAAACATCTGAAGATTTGGACCCAGCCATGTAGTAATTAGCTTCTTGTTCCTAGTAGCAAGAATGCTACTAGTAGTAGGGCCAGGAGCCCCTAGTAGCTGTTGTGCTGAATGGGCATAGGAAAGGAATCGATGTTTCAGACTCCATAACTCCATGAGACAGTTGAGACTCCACGTATTCCTTGACCTACGAGTCAAAATCACTTGCCTGTGTTGGGGTTGTATTGGGGGGCGCTGTTGGCACTCTCCTCCGCCCTCGGCCATGACACGTTGCGATTCCCGGCCAGGCCTTTGGTGCCAAAAGAGCCCCAGTGTTGTTTCTTTCCCTAGCTTTCGCCACACCCCCTGGGCCACAAGTGAATTTATTTCTTGAGCACTATTTAACACTATATAGATATATATATGCGATAAGTAATGTAACATCATGTAGCTGTCAATAAATAGTTATGTTTGGTACCAAATCGGCCAATACAAGTAGTGAATGATTTGAATGATTCCCTTCAGCTTTGGTTTGGACTTCTTTTGCTACTAGACATTTGTATCATGTGCATTGTATGGTGCCATGTTCTATAGTGCTTTTCTCTACAAAACTGACTTGAGGGTGCGCAATGGAGCTTTGTTATTGTTTAATAGCAGCAGGTGACCCGTGCCCAGACCGCGCTTGGGGTAGCACAGCGCTTGGTCCAACATCGGCTTTTCTTCACGCCTAAAGAAGAGGCGCGCCGCTGGGGATCGCGTGGGGCAGGGGTGCTCCTGGAACCTGCCGTGAAAGGGGCCAGAACAGCCCCATGAACCAGAACTCCCAAAAAGCCACCATCTCACAGACCTTATTTCAACAAGTCCTCATATTTGTGCCCAAGCGAGGTAGCTAAGCCCAAGCTAAGTCTATCTTAGCCAAGTCCAAGCTAAATCATTACTGTAACCCGCAGTGTCACCCACATATGCAGGTAGCGGATGGTAGCAGTATCTATACAAGTGGCATATATTTGTGCAACGGAACAAACCGACAGGAACTTGGCTAAAGTGGCTGCGCAGGAACGGAGGAACGGATGAGAAATGGTTGGTGCTACGGGAGCATCTCCAACAACCGCATCTCTCACCAGGAGCCCTGCAAAGTCTGGAACATGCTTCCAACATCTTCCAACCTTTGGAGTCGTCGAACATCGTTCCTAGATAAGGTATATTTATATATTTGTTGGCCCTCTGAGTCAAAGCACTATATAAGTAAAAGGACTTGCCTTTAGGTGATATTCTGAGTTCTTCCGAGATATTCGCAGTGTTGATCCTGTCCGACAAGTACACTGACATGTGTCAAACGATTCCTCGCAGCCGAGACTCGTTCGATCACAGAACGGTCTGTCGCGCTGGGTTTGCAGGTGGGAATCGTCTTCTTTGGCACGAGGGACACGCAGAACGACTTGCAGGCGCTCGGCTTGCTCACATTTTTCCAGCCCTGGAGGACATGCACCTGTAGATTGAAAGTACCAACGGAGGTTGAATGACCCTGACTATCCCATAGGTACCCCAGTAGGGTCCTATAAGTAGTATGGGCTTGACTTAGCACCACAGCATTCCGCTGTGGTCCTGTTTGTCCATGCCCATTCACCCGATACCTGCACGAGGTAGGGATTTGGAGCTGCTAGCTGTCGGATTGGACGATTGCGGGTTCATTCTGGTGAAACTGAAACATGCCAAAACCTCGATAAGCTTGGAGCTTGCTTGCTTTCAAGGGGTGAATGGAGATCCCGGGTCGTGCTGGGGCTTCCAGCTCCGCCAGCCAGCTTCGTCGACTCTGGGGGGGCACGTCGACGCACGGAATGTGCTGGTGTTTAAGGGGACGCATCCTATAGGTCTTCGCAGCTGCCACTGGAATGGTGGTGCTTTTCCCAGACACTCCATGTCTGTCATATATATATATATATCTCGATCAGTTGGGGTGGTGCCAGGGGGGTCAATGTAGGCATATATGGCAGTCCCATGGAGTGTTTGGGTTTAGTATTTGGTTCGTTTCAGATCGTTTAAGCTGATGGATGCGAGGCATGGATGAAACTCGTCCTCAGGGTCCCAGGAGTCCTTTCCAAACACCCGTCCGACCTAGGTACCTTCCGACAGGGCGTGGTTTCCTACTGAAGAGTGTTTTCAGGTGCTTTGTTCCCTCCCACTCAACTGGAATAAACCGCCACAGCCACCTAGTATATGTGTAAGTTTCAAAAACACTCACAGGGAAGAAGAACAATTGACGATCAACGCCATGGGTTGGGGTGTGCTCCTATTCAAACACAAGCGCATGTGGGTCTTCATCAGTTTAGGATTCTACTCGTTCCCAGTGGGTGGAAGGCACAACGGACAGAGCCCTGCACCATTTTTTGGTGACAGGAGGATGGAGAGTATCGGAACATCTATGTTTGCCGGAACCGCCACGGGCTGAGGAGATGTTGTTTCTTTTTTAAATCAGTCGTTCCGAGTGTGGCTGCAAAAAGCCTGTTTGGGGATCAATCTGCACGGATTCGCCGTGTTTTCTTCAAGCCAAGGGTAGATGTGTGCTAAATAATCGCATGTTGGGGTGGCATGGAACCAGTTTATCGGTGACTCCGTGGGGTGCTGAGGGAGTTTGATACCTGATACCTTATAAGTAACTTTGAGACTTTGGGTAGCTTTTGAAGGGAGGAACGCCATGGGAATGGTATATTGTGACATCCCAAGTTCCCAAGCTGAAGACTCATCATTCAAAACAGCATCAGTATGACCAGCAAATTCTTGAGGAACTGCAGGTTTGAAAACCTTCCCGAGAAGGTGCAAAGTGTTGAATAGGTTTCAATTACTGTATATATACTGAAGATTTGGCAAAATCGTTGTTTGTGCGTGGCCCCCTCCCTGGTGACAGCAGAGGGGCTTCGGTGTGTCCGACCATACCAGGGTTCCTACATCTTTTTAATCAGACTGAATTGTAGGTGAGACTACACTTGGAGGAGGGTGGGGAGAGTACATTGAGAGGATAGTCTTGGACCCCAAACACCTCCCCACGTAGAGGCAGTTGTAAAGTACAGTAAATGATGGGTAGAGAGACCGATGAGAGCAGCAGCATCACTACTGTGAAGACCAAGTAAAATGAGGGAAACCTTCAGAACCGATAAGGTTCACAAGAAAAACAATAGTGTTGGGAAGAGTGCACACTACAACACACAAGAGCTTTTGCACGTGGCTCATATATCTTAAAGATGCTTTAACATTGGATCAACGCCCGTGATGCTCCTGGCGAGCCGAGACCGACATGATCCCACCAACGCCACCCACCTTGCGAAGCGAAAGTATGACCAGCCGCCGATCCCGGGCTGAGGCAAGATTGACGTGGTCGATCTCGAGGCTCTCCGGTGTTTGCCGGGAGCTCAAGCTGCGTGACAGTGTGTGACTGCCGCCATTGATCCCTGAAAAGCCTGATTGTTCAGGCACCCCTTTTTTCAGGATCCTGTAGACACTGTAAGCATGTTTTTGTTGGCATACATGGAGTGTTTGGGGAGAACATCCAACACTTCACTTCTTGGTCCACCCAGTTCAACCGGTATGTAGGTCCACCTAGGTGGATGGGCGCAATGCCTGTTGCTGTTGGCAATCATCGCAGTGCTCATCAAAGAGAGGCAAAGGTAAAAATCCGAGAGATTCCGATGGCTTGAAGTGTGTGTGTGTGTGTGTGTTCGTGTTCCATCGGCCGCATTGAAGCCAGCTGCAGCACTTGGGATGAACGCTGGAGGGCAGGATGAACGCTGGAGGGCATGCTTCATGGGAGTGGAACGTCGCAAGAGTGATTTGTGATGTGAATTGGGCGTTTTTTTGCTGACGCTTCACTCTTGAGTCAAGCTTGAGGCTGAATGTTTGCCATGACCAGGGGAGTGGATGCATTGCACACTGCTGCTGAAGCAGCTTGTGTTTGGAGGCCGGCTGTGTGGAAATAGATTGCCAAGGTTTGTGGTCAGCATTGCTAGGTGTGGCGCTTCTTGCAGTTGGGGTTTGCGAAACAAGCCAAGCAGGCTGATAGCTCAGAGATAGCCAGGACAGATTAGGAATTGGTTGAGCTCTGGCAAGCTCGTGAGAGACGAACGCTTCAATAAGCATCAAGGCGCGTATGATGTCAACTGACAGGCACTGTGGCCATGCCAAGATCTTGAATGAGCTCGGACTTGTCACGGAAACACCGATCGACCGGAGGGTGATGGGTGCAGTACTCATGGTTCCTGTTATGGAGATTGGAGACACTGTTTTGTATACGTGCCTTGGTCGGGTCCAGTCGTACCGAACCTGAGAAGGTACGGCTGGATCCCTAGGCGGATCAAAAGAGCAAACCCAGACTCCCCCAAGACCAAAGGTTTGTTCGAAGTGTTGGGAGCAAGGCTAGCATTGGAAGTAAATGTTGAACCCATGCAGTACCAGGATGTCCTAGTATGGTGCACCATTCCTGTGAGATAGCAAAAGCAGATTCTCTTCTTCATCTCACCAACTTCCATCCCCTCCCTGGAGAGGTTCCTCCAGATCTGCCAGATCTGAGGTCAGAAACCACTGCGCCCAAAGGAGGCGAGGTCTCAGATGCGGTCTCCGCGCTCATCGTGGGGCTTGATATGCTCATCAAACGCACCAAGGACCGGGTGCTTGGAATGGGGTCCGTGCCCAGACACTCCACGCGACACAGAAAATGGGCACTCCATGAAACTATATGCCCCCATACATGGAGTGTGCCAGGTGATTGGCATATTCTGGCACATTTCACCAATCAGTTGAAGGTGGTTGACAAGATGGCCAGGCTGTTTGGGCACCTGACCACTGTTGGTGAACCTGGACACCAGACTTGGAAACACAAAACATACAATATTTATATAAACATACCGATTCTTGCAGGGTGCTGGTACCCTATAGCCTTCCAAGACCAACAATGGTTGACCGGGTTTTGTGGTGTAAAATCCTCGTGCAAAACGCACAGCTTAAACAACGGAAAACAACACTTACATGGAGTGTTTGGATTTCACTTCACTCAGAAGAGACGTCACCGACCCCCAAACAAACGCCTGGATGACGGTCACCTCCTGAATTGGTGAGGGTCCGGGCCAGGAACCACTTGGTCGGTGTGTCTATTCAGCAAAACTGGTGGATGTTCGCGTTGTGCGCTGCGGAACCGTTCGCACCTCACTGTTCGCACCGGCCGGTGACTGGTTTGGATCTGTAGGTCAGGTCCTTCGATGTGCTGAACCCCCGAGGTCCGCGGCGCTGAGTCGTTCTTAGGTCACCGTCCCTCTCCCTGCGCTACAAGGGACGTCTGGTGGAATCTTGGCTTTGTGTGTGGTTTTGGTGTGTCAGCCCGTGCTTGCTTCCGTGTCCAGCCCGTTGTTTGGTGGCGTTGTGGTGCGGGGGGGGGGAAGACTCCGCAACACAAGTACGCATGGCAGGAGCTGAAGTATAAGAAGAGCATCAAGCTGATTACCCATGAGCCACCTGGCAACAACCACTGGGCACAACAGGTGTGTTGATTTGGCATTTGGGAGGACCCAGGCGGGTCATGCCTGGTCTTAAATGACTTCGTCATGCGATGGGTCCTTTTTGATCTGGGCAGATGAGAGGCATTGTGCCAACGTCCAACGCTAGAAGTAGACGGGACTATTGCTACGCTCGGGCGCAAGAAGCATCCATTTCCAATACTGTACTCTAAAGCTTGATGAATAATTGGTTCTCCAATAAGTCATCATGCAACTTTTTTCTCCTGAAAGCATCCTAAAGTCTTAAATCTTGTGGACTGTAGCTCTCGTATATTCGCTCGGAGGGTCTTTGGGGACGGTGCTATTCAATCAGGAGATCATCCGCAGGAGATACTGCTGGATGGTGTGTGGACGTGTGGACATTGGCCACACGGAACAGACAAAACGATTAAAGACTGAATGAATGAAAGCGTGGTGCACTTTCTGGGGGGGCGAGGTTGGCAACTGTTAGACTTCTAGATCATGGGTTCGCTGGTGCAAACGATGCATGGCAAATGCGTGGTGGTTTCAGGTGGTGACTGTCGTTCATTTCAAGCTACAGGCATGTTTGTGGAAATGTGGGTGGAGGCAATCCCTATGAGGGTGGAGGCCATCGCTATTCGGGTGGTGTGTGACAGCTCATTCGCACCTCATCTACGCCCGACCTTCCCTGGCCGACCACAGCGCGTTGGGCGCCGACCGAGGTTCTCGGCGCCATTGGGCGATCCGGACCTGGCGGAATGCGCCCCGGGCAGCGATGAGTGTCAGGGTCCGAAATCATGGCCTAATCCCTTTCATTTTGTGATGTATAATATAGACAGACACCCCCCTTCATGATCTACCTTATTCTGCTTTCTGCGGACCTGCCCATACACAGGCGATTTGTTGAACCTAGCCCCTCATGTTCTAACAACTACAAATTTGTAAGATGCAAAACACTTGCTGCTTTTAAGGATGTTTAAAAAATAACAGACACACTATTATAGTAATAGTATGTAATAGTTATAGTAATGTATATATATATATATATGCATGTAAAGTAACTATGTGTTCAAGCAATTTTGGACAAACAAATACGGGAATGTTTGGGTTCAGGCTGCTTGTTGCTTTTGTTTCTGTTTAAATTTCCTTTATTTGTTGATTTTGAACCAGGGCAGGATTGATGTCCCATACAAATGCTGTGCAATCTTTTTTGGTGCAGTGATGTGCTTTTTGATGTGCTTCAAAGCGCTTTAAAGCACCCTCAACAGACAAAGACTCCTAAGACAAGGTATTGCAAAAGCAAGATTGATGTCCCTAAATGCTTTGCAATCTTGCTTTTTGTTTCTTGCTTTTATCGTGCTTCAATGCGCGTTAAAACAACCTTACTTTGCAAAGCAAACCGAAAGATGCCACAAGCACGATTGATGTCCACTAATGCTGTGCGATCTTACTTCTCGCTTCTTGCTTTTTGCTGTGCTTTTAAAAGTGCTTTAAAGCAACCTCAACGTTCAACAACATGAACACAAGGTATAGCATAAGCAACCCGATGTCCCTGAATGCTTTACCATTTTGCTTATTGTTTTTGTCTTTAGATGACCTTTGAAATACAATACTTTCAAGTGGCAAGTGGTATCATAACATGAAACATTGAGGCACTCTTGTTTATGCAAATGCCACTGATAGTGGCTATGTGTAATTTGCCATTGTTTGCGATATGTTTCTGGGTTCAACTGGGTTTTGGATGTCACAGTGCTTCACTTGAGGGTTTCTTTGGGGGGTCGGGTGTCACAGTGCTTCACTTGAGTCACTTGAGGGTTCCTTTGGGGAGGGTTTCACTGCTCACTTATAACACCATGTTCACTCCACCATGCTGATGGCTCTGGAGTTCTTTGGTTCTTCTTGTTGATGCTGGCGTTGCGGGAGTGCCGTCGGATTATATACCTGCCCAATGAGTCGGTTTGAGTTGTACTAGACGTGCATGGTGTTTCCTGTTTTCCCCTCGACTATACGATCCGGATGTGGCTTCGACTCTGCTTCTCACAGAGCGCCGCAGGGAAGTGCCCGAACTCTTCCGTTGAGCAGCCAAAACGATCCCTGTAATGTGTTCAGCTTGTGCGGATGTGAACAACGATGTGGTCGGCCAATGTCACCCTGTGCAAAATCCCCTCTACGCCGCTAAGGGCGGCGTAGCCTGGTTTATGTCTTAAGCCATTGCCTTTAAGAACTCGTGTTTGTTTCCTCAGCGCCGTTGTTCACCTCTCTTGGACGCTGTCTGGTCGAACCGTGCCCTGCTCACTGGGCCCTCTGTTTGGAGAAGCCAAACAGTGCACCGGAGATTTGCAATTCCCAGACACTCCATGTATGCCATATATGCCTACATTGACCCCCAAAACCACCCCAATGTAGGCATATATGACAGACATGGAGTGTCTGGGATTGAGTTTGCCGTTGTTTTTGTCCATGTTTCTTTTTGTGTGTTTTTTGTCTTCTTGGACGCTGTCAGCAACGCTGTCAGCAATGACAACTGTCATGCGCAGCGCTCTGTGCCAGAGTCTTGCACGACAATGTCATTCCCTGCAAGAAAAAGAGTCAAAGTGGATGGCAAATGGATTTACGTCAGGGTTGTGAAGCACAGTACCTTGCCTGGCACTCGCAAAGTCTTGACTGTCAAGAGTGGAATCCAAATTATTGATCGCTGTTGGCGATTCTTGAATTGTCGCATCACGATCAACCACCATTCGAAGATGGGATCATGGCCTCCCAAAAGTGTTGATGTTTAAAGGAGAGGCGCTGGTCATGGCCCCAGAAGTCATAGTATTGTTTTTGGTACGGACCTGTTACCGGCTACTTCGCATGGATGCCCACGTTTGAAGACATGGCCCAATGAACGACTGAGCCGGGATGCATGAATTCCCTATTTCAGAAAATCACAGCACGGATGAATTTCCGATAATTGAGAATTATACAAGAGCTCAAGAAGATATAAGAAAGACAACATATCACGGATCCAGAAAAGGTAGATCACGGATGCGGGGTATGCCAGGTAGCCACTTCCACATCAAAGACCCCATTGTAAGGGAGGGGGTAACTTCAGGTATATCAGAAGGGCAGCTGGTGTCCTTACTAAAGCACACAAATTTCAGACCTTTGCATTGTGGCCCTCACGGTAATGTGCACACATTCAAAAGTGATCCACCCAAGCACACCAACAACAGCTTAAAGGCCTCAACACTTCTGGTCCCCTATAGTATTTGTGTGCGGGCTTGCTGTACTGCAGCGGTTTGGATCGGACTGTACCAAGTAAGTGATTCTGCAGCGCCAAAAACAAGGCCGTACAACCATGCGAACAGACACTTCGGCATGGAGGGCCCCGGTAGTATCCCAAGTGCCGCGGGGTGAGAGAACAAAATGCTAGTGTTGTGCAACGATTTTTTTCCAAGAGTGCGTTGCAAAGTTTTATGTCAGCACTGACCGGAAAAAACAGGAGCTACCGCCGCCCCGGTTTTGGGACCATGAAGCTGCACGGTTGTGCAACGTTATAGTTGGACCACGACGGGATCTGGAAATGATGTTCTCTTCTGGCAAGTCAACAGGGCAACAAATTTTTTGAGTCTGACACACACACACATGTTTTTGTGTGTTTGCGTGTGCTGTCGTATTTGTCGCCTTATATTCGCACGCACTTCCACTCAACTTGGCATGGAGAAGGCTTTCAGGCGTCCGAGACCCCCTCATAGGGCAGGTGCAGTATACCTCTTCGAAGCGCAGCTGCGAGACAGGAGCCGAGAGGAATGCCAGGACCCCTGGGCTGTTTTGGGACCTGTTGTTACCAGGACATGCCCTGTTGGAGGGTGCTGGTAGGCCCACCCTGCTAGAGGTCTCCAGCCCCACCACGTTCATTATTCCACAACTTGCAAATCAAGAGTCATCACAAGTTGTCACTTCTACCAGGCGGGACACCCATCCTGATGATCTCGTTTGCCGTTCCGGTGGGAATTGTAATTTTTGTATTTACGGTTTGTTCTAGCAGATTCTCCCAACTCACTTACTGCCACCATTCAGACGAGACCCGAGGTGCCAAACAATTGCAGGCGCGGGTGGCGAGTGCGGACGGGGCTCAGATGGTTGGATTGAAACATTCGAGGGACCAGAACTTATTTCATGGCACCAGGGTTGCCAGGGCAGAAGCAAGTTGAAACAGCGTTTTGAAGATGCCAGATTCTAGGCCTGATTGATCCTGATTGGATTGGAGATCGCACACGGAAAAAGCCAGTGTTGGGTCATTTGAAGATCCCAACTAAAAAGAAAAGGTAGCCTTAGCCAAGCACCGGCCTTCTTCCACCAGGCATCCTCCGACTCCACCGGGTGAGGCTAGAACTACCTGGCCAGTGGTTTCATGTGGTTTCCCTTCGTCCAGACATCAACAGGTGGATAATCAGGGTGAAGTCTGAAAGTGTCCTAAATTCAGTGCACTCGACTCTTTGCTCTATGTGGTTTTTAATCCTTTCCCTAGAGAAGGTACTTGGTACTTGTAGCCTCCAAACCTACATAACAGTGTCTCCAATCTCCCATACAGTTTGTAACGTGATGTGCTACAGAAGCACTACATTGGACTGTGAGCAAAGGATCTGACCTACGACACGGAAGGTTGTGTTTAGGTTGCGTCCTTATGCACTTGGTACCGCTCAGCCGTTGTGAACAGGTCATGGGTGCCGAGCTCAGCGTGACCTTAGTCGGTTCCTCCGGAAAGGGCGCTTGGGCAGCCCTGCAAGGTGGGGCACCCGGTGGAGCGCGCGGAAAGGGCGCTGGGATCCCGACGGACGGTCCGGTGGTCCGAAGGGTGTTGAGACACACGGTCGACCAGCGACCACCGACCAGCTCGGACAAGAACTATAGAACATGACTCACGTGACGTATGGAAGTAGACGACCTTGGTCCCTTGGAAGACGCCTTGCTCCCATGTTTATACCCTAAGGGTCCAGGACCATCCTGAGGATGTCCTTTGACTCCCCAAGACCATTCTCAGGAAGTACTTTCACCTCCAAGACTCCAAGACCATCCTCAGGAGGTACCTGGACCCTATGGGATAGTAGAGTTGTCCACTTCCATGTGATGTGTAGAACTTGGAGTGTTTCGAACATATACTGACTGCATCAGTCCTGCCTGCATGACCTGTTCAGATCTCTGACAGGGCAGTCTGAAGGATATCCTGACAGACCTGCCGGATTTGAATGACGATCAACCTGCCGGATTCATGAGAATACAGTCGAACAGACTGTATTCTGAAGATATGTTTCACTGCATGACTCTTGACTGGATGAGTTCTTGTCCACAAACTCGTCTCGACCGTGACATCCCATCGACCGTCCGACCCATCGACGACAGGGACGGGTTTTGTCTTCACTGAAGGAGGCGACCCGTCCCTCCGTTGTTGGGACCGTCCCTCGTGCTGCGAACGCGAAAGCGACATCCACCAGCACCAGCCAGTTGGAAAGGGTATATATAAATACCTGGAGGGTTCAACCCTGGGTCTTGCATTCGAAGAACGTCCACTGACCTACCAGCAAGGTGAGCACCTCAAGGTGGTCTCCTTGCCGGAGCTTCTGAGAGATACTGAGCTCAGAGTGAAGCCGGTGGAGCAACGTGCCAAGGCCAGGGTGGTTCACTTGCAATTTGCAAGTTGTATTGGGGATTAGCCAACCAAAACAGCTGCTGTAGGTCACTTCAATTAGTGACCTCTTTTGGCCCAACACTCCGCAAAGGAGGTGTTGGAGGGGGGAAATGCTTCACTATGCTTCACTACGTTCTTGCGTGAAGGTATGGCAAAAGGTTGACTCGCTGACTTGACCTTTCTCTCGTTGAACCGTTGAGTTCAGCTGACAAGAGCAAACTTTAAGGCTTTTACACTTCTTTGGCTCCGAAAAATGGAGCAGTGTGCTGGCTCCAACATTTTCAGACGGATGTTCCAGTTTCTGATATACCAAATGCAACGACGGTATACTTAGGGTTTGTCCTGTTTGCAATGATCATCATGTTTGAACAAGGCCTGGTACCTAACCATCATCATCCACTGTTACAGGTAGGATAGACCCAAAGTGTGTACTACACCTGGAGCAGCTTCCAGTCTGCTTTGCTGTTTTCTTCCTTCACCTGACTCCCCTCAGGCGTCTCGGAACCGATCCCCATCGGCACAGGTTCGCTTGGCTTTGACCATTTCCCCTGAGATGGACATCCCCATTGGCGTCTACTCTAAGACCACACGTGGCCCGGTGGAAGAGGCACCACTGGAGGTCGTCCAACTGATTTGGGGCAGCATTGGCTTTGGAAGAATGAGTGACCTATGTTGGTGCATGGGTATGCATTATTTGCAAGTTGCTGCGCTATAAATAGCAAGGCAATGAGGGCAACAGTAAGCCTTTCTCATTGCGCAAGGACCCGCAGCTGATGCACTTGTTCTTGTTTGCAGACTTCTTTTGGTCTTGGAATGTTTGTCTTTCAGAAGGTGCCAGGAGTTTGTGGTGGGTAACACTAGATTTATTTCAGAGTAGCTTTGGCATCTTTGGCCCTGAACAAAGAAACGCCCTCCAAGGTGTGGGCTTTCCAACCATGAAGAAGCAGTCAAAGTTGGCAGCCGCATCTTGGTTCATGGCCAGATGAGTTGGCTGCTGCCAGCACCACTCAGGGTGCTCATTGGTGAGGAGATGTGAGCAGTGATGGTTGCAGCACCCAACTGTAGCCGTTGGTGGACTCTTCACTGTTTTTTTGACATGTTCTTTTGGCTGATTGTTTTGCCCTCCCTCCAACTTCCAACAAACATGCAAGTGGACAATTTGCTGTTTGGTCTTGGGAAGTCATGGTCTTTCCAGGGCCGGAACTGTTCCACGTAACTCTTGTTGTCAGAGAGGGTTACTGGTCCCTTCAACCTCGTCCCGTCCTCAGATCAACCGGTGGTAGACTCCAGTCCACATGACCAACATCCTTTGATGCCTTGAGCCGGCTCGCAATGGATCCGCGGGCAAGTTATTTCGATGATTTGCCAACAACAATCCTTTTGGTGGTGCTTCAATTCCACTGGAGAAAGGTTGGTTGCACGGCGTAACACATACATGATAGAATGAACATGTGTTGATCAATGTTGATGGTAGGGATGGTGGGTAATGCCTTTGTGGCATCATGAGACATTGTTTAGGTACACTCCCCTGTCATGCAACATGTGCGAATCAAGACGCGAAATCCAACATTGTTGGCTGCTTCCAGATGGCGTTCGTGGGGCTGGGACACTTCAGAATTCCATTCATGAGTCCAGGCTGGTTCGTGCTCAGACACCCTACATAACCACATGAAATCTCCAAATTACATTGGCTTCCAAATACCTATATAACTCCAAGAGATCACCACCATCGAAGGTCTTTCAGCATTCACCTGACCTAATAGTAACAAGAAGCGACTCGAACGTAACAAGGGCATCACTCGAACGGAGCGAACGGACGCGAACCGAGTAAGTAGCCCCTGGCATTCCCACGAACGGAACAAGCTTCGCTACGAGTAAGTAGTCTTCAAGGGCATCGCTACTAGTCCCTAGGGATCCAAGTACCTTCTCAGAAGGTGATTGGAGACTATGTATGTAGGCTTGGAGGGCCCAGTCGTACCTTCTGAGAAGGTATGTGGATTTGTAGGGAGTATACTAGTAGCATCGCTAATATCGTAGCTCATTGGCGACACAAGCTACCTTCCACCCACCTCGTGGGACCTCGCGAGCGCGCTCCGCGCGGGCGGTCGATGCGCTCCGAGGCCATCCCCAGTGAGGCCCGCAAGAGCGACAAGGTCCTTCCGGACCGCACCTACTACGCGACGCCTGGACCACGCGACGTCGGACCTGGTGGTTTTTCCATCGTGTCAGATGGGGCGAGTTCGAACGACCAGGTCACCTCGAATCGTCTCCGCTAAACGACCAGCCGCCCTGAGAAACCGTGCAGGTCGTAACAGGTGGGAGAGACATCCCTTCCAGCTGATCGCTCCTTCCTCGACTGAGGACGGACGACAAGGAAGGGGAAGAGGTGAAGAAGGAAGATCGCGTGCCCCGTGGTGGCGTGGAAGGTGGACGGTGCGTGGGTGCGTGGGGCTTGACGTCGCGTGTGGTGACAAGGACGGTAGAGATCAAAGGCATCAAATACGTATAGATGTTTGTTAGAGTTAGAGTCTATAGCTGCGCAGCAGTTAGCAGAGTATACTCTTCATAATGGCTGGAGTTTCAGATTTGCTCAGATTTGTAGAGTGTGTTTCTTGCATTCCGTTGCCAGACTACTACAAATACAATCATATTTGTCAATCATATACAGATGCCAAATGATGCCAAAATGTTATCCTTATATCTTATATCCATCGTTGGCTAGGCATGTCAGTCCAAATTGCTGTCTTCCACCGTCAAGGTGTGTGCTACGTGCCCCCAAAGCAAATGCAGTAGACAGTGGTTCAAGATGGTTCAACTCGGGATCAGTCCCGGACAGCTGGACTTTGTTGCCATCTCCTTCCCAAATGATGGGATTCACAGCATGTCCGAGGGGGACCACCGGACGGCGGACACGCCAGCGGTCCGAGGAAGGGTTTCAAGTACGGGCAGAACATCGTTCCGATGTCGGAGTACGATGAAGCCGCCTTGCCACCGGGTGCACATGGCAAAGATTGAATTCAAACCATGCGAGAAAAACAAACAGAACACCTCGAGCTGTTTGGAGTAGGCTGTAGGCTGACGGATGTGGGATGTTGATTTCTTTGGCTGGTCGGGGGGGAAAGCAACGGACATGTTGGAATGCCATCCAGATGTGTAGTGATATCAACCTTAGTCAGATGATTATTGTCATTAAACCGTTGTATTTGTCCAATGAAGATGCGAACATGCAGTTTGTCAAGGTCTTCAACCCTTCAGAATCCTGCAGACTGTGCCATTAAGTGTCAGGAAGTGACCTTCACCAAAACAGTCGACTAAGTTGCTCAATGTCAAAAGAATCACAGACAATTCGTTTCGGATTCTTTTCATTTGACCAGTTTGAAACACATTGTTTGACTGCATTCCAGTTTGACCATTTGGTGGCCCAGTCGGGCCTTTGCCCCATATCAGTTTGAGTTTGCCAAACTGTCGGGCTTTCCGAGGTCCTACTCCTGTGATCGCACCTTAACCACACTGGGCTTTGCAGATGCCGCCAGCGTGAGCCCAGCTGCTGGACCGAAACATCCAGAGTACTGATGCGAGCAATTACTGTACTTGCTACTTCATGGGTGTTTGGACTTGTTAACAGACCTGACCTGCATTGACACCCAGGATGAAAGACTTGATACTCAACAGACTTTTTGAATGATATTTCGACTTTGAAAGGCTCGCTCCAGGTTGCAACAAGGCAAAATGGATCGTGGGGAACACCTCCGGGGCTGCCGGGTCTGCTGTTTTTTGTTGTTTCTCATGCGGCTTTTGGTCGTGGAATGGATGTTTCAGATCAACTTGGGGTGAAGTATAACGCTATATCAGAACCACTCACCTCATCAGCCTGTTGAAGGAAGAAGCCCCTGCCTGAACATGAGATCCGATTCCTCAGTTCCTGGCCCCGTGGACGGACCCAGGAGAGCAGCTTGCACAGCGTTGATGTGGTCGCTGCGGACAAGGGAGACGCGTGGGCTCACTATGCCTTCGAGTCTTTGGTCGAGGCGGTTTCTCACTGGTTTCTCACGTCGTCACCACCAGTGCAGACGTTCAAAAGCAAAGCGACATCGCGGGGCCCAGCACTGACTGAGTTTCCTGGTACATCATTTTAGGCGAATGGATTGATGTTGCATCTTTCCCAGTTGTGATCCTCACACATTCTCCCACGGACTGTCCAGGCCATGTTGAGTGAGAAGAGGGTGCTGATAGCACGCTACTGCTTCCGCAAAGATTCGCAGCCGCGGATGGTGGCGCTGATCCCCAAAAAAGGAGCCGGAGTGGGCCCGTGGTCCTCCTTTGGACAACAGGCCAGCTGCCTGATAAACGTCCAGAAGCTAAACGTGAAGAAGCTACTAACCTGCAATCACAACCAGACCCAGCTGCAACCATGAAGGGCCGTTTTTTTTTCTCAGTAGAGGCCCACATCGTCATCAGCAACACCCTCCTCCTCATCATCCTCATCCACTGGGAAAAGGATGGATTATATATATTGCTTTTATACGGCTTGTATACGGGTCCAAAGCGAGCTGAGATAAATATGATTACTGCAAAATTGTGTGTTTCTCCGCGAGTCACAAGATCCCAACAAAAAATATATATATATATTATATACCGTATATACAAAATTTGATCCACAAATCCCAATCAATCGAACATGGTCTCCCCATAGCTTAGCGGTGAGGAGCTTTTGGCAGCAATGTGTTGGCTTGGGTGTTGCCGGCGTATTTAAGAGCCATACAGACACTCCTGTTCCCGGCTTTGGGTGTTTCGGCTGGTGTTCCGCAGTGTGAACACTGTGGCAGATCGCACTTCAGGAGATGCCTCCAGCTCCTCGCACCTGGTGCTTCAATATATGCCCTTCACAGAAGACCTTCGTCGCTGGGACCGATCCGCGCGTCCGCACTCACACACTCGGGAACCGGGGGGGTGATCGAGTCGGGTCGAGTTCTGGAGACCAGAACTTCCTTAAGAACCAATATAGGCGTTTGATGTCCTGCATTTGGATGGTAAGAACCTCTTCATGATGGGGGCTTGAAATATTTTAAAAGAATCTTATATCAGAGGCTATATAATAGCCGCACCAGATTGGTCATAGGCGAAGGTTTCTTGTCCTAGACCGTAGAAACACGAGTGCAATTCCTGGCGGTGTCTCGCCCACCGAAGCGCCATGCCAGGTAACCCTCGTAATGGGCAACCCTCCCCTTCCAGAGGCTGGGAAGATTTGACAGAAACAATCTGAAAGGACCCCACCTGATATCTCCGATTCAAAACGTGATAGTACATAGTTGTATGTTTAAAATGTTTAATGTTTTATTGTTTAGATTAGATATACAGTCCCTCCAAGTCCGAAGTGCAAGTCAAACGAGTACTGTTCGAAAAGAACCAATTTTTACGGAACTGTTTGTCCGAACCAAGGCCCTCGTTTTTCCAAGCGAGTTCAACCCTGTTACGGTTTTTGAAGATCAGTTGCAGGTTTAGAAGTCTTTGGGAGGGGGTTTGTTACGGAACTGTTACACTCCTGTTATGCTAAATAGCTGGCCCGCAATTCAGACCTCTTTGCTTTTAATGTCGAATAATGAGCCTCAAAACCACAACGAACACCTTTGATGTCACTCAACATCGCCTTTGATTCCCTTCCAAACCACCTGAGAGATCATGAACATGGGTTTCAACGGTGCCAAGCAACACTAGGATCGTAAACATACAAGTGTGTTCATTATCTCCAATTCTAAATGAACAAGTTTAACGAGGTCATCGACTTGGAAGATGTATACTGTAGCAGGGTCAAGACACCTAATACAATCTAATACAACAAGCCTTAATTAAAGTATCACATGTCTACATGCTACATGAATCAGGGATATAGGTGGTCCTGCATGTCAGATTTTGTGTTGAGCATTTCTATAAACACCTGACTCCCTTGAACTCAGCCCGCGCGGCACGCGGCACGCGGCACTTGAGGTGAATGGACTTGCGCTTCATTGCCGGACCGCGCGACCGCGCGACCGTGGGTCGGGTCCTGACGACCGGGCGACCGGTGAACACAGCAACACATGCCAGTGGCCCTACTGGACAGCCCAGTCAGCCTGAGGCAAATCCGCAAAACTGTGAACTGGCATGGACTGGTACATCTCCACCTCTGGTGGAGTTGCCGTGGGAGAATCAGTTTTCCGTTCGCACCTCATCATTGAGTGGTGCTCTAGTTTTGTGACTTCGTGACTTCCACTCCCAGATGCACTAGGAGCCCACTGCCGAGCAGAAGGCCTTCACGAATTCTTTGGTTGATGCTTTGACCTTCGATCCACAGACGCTGAGGCGGAGTCAGGGGGGTCAGACACTTGGGCGGCCAGATCGGTTGGAATCATGCATGACTCGACCATTTGGTTCAAGATGTACCCTCCCCGGGCCCTCCCCCCGGCCAATTATGGTGGAAAATGGGTGAAACGGCCAGCGTTCGTAGAGGAACATGGCTCGTGGCAATGTTCCACTTCCATGAGGACGCTGGACGGAGGGCACAGTATACGGTACAGTATACCTCGATGTCAATTTCAATGCGCAAAACTTGGCGCCTAGCACACTTTTGTTGCCAGTGTTGTCATTGATCAGGTACGTCTTCTCAACTCTTCTCAGGCTCTTTGTGGCTTGGCCACTTTCACAGCTACTAGGACGATCATTAGCGGGGGCCTACCCCGGGACACGGGCTCAGCGTGACACTTCTACCTCCACCCCCGATTCCGCTCCAACGGGGTAGGACGTATGAAACCAGGCCCCTTCCGCACTTCGGATCCATTCAGCTCCCGATGGGCCGCTTCCGCGGCCGCTTTTCGGGCCGCGGAAGACCTGTGCTAGGCCCGAGGAGACCAGCAACCCTTCGCTGGCGCGCTTCTATGATTTCTTGGGTCGGCGAGCAGTGGACCCAGGCCGGACATCCACCAGTTGCGAGGTGAAACAGCGGGGGGACCAGGGTGGATGCTTTCGTGTGAGTGATGAGCCGGGTTCAACTGCCTTGTGAACACCATAAAGTTGAATTTAAGCTTCCCAGCTATGCAGGCTGAGGGCGCACTTGAGGTCCCAAAGCCCATCCCATGAGCGGTATTCAAGAACCCCATGAAGATTAGCTAGGATGTGGAAACTATAACCCTGAAGACGTTTTAGGCAACTATAAATACTTCCAGAAGCTTCTGCCACTCCTTTAAACTCCTTTCGCCTTTGCCACCCACAGGCGTTCCTCGTTTGTGCCTGGAGGATCACCGCCACTCGCACTCGCGCCATCTCGCGCCGTCGCCTCTCCTCGCTCACACGTCACTCCTCAGGCGCCAAGCTGGAGAGTTCGGTGGCAGCTCCAGTGCTGGAGATGCCCGAGCACGCGCGCCTGGCGCTGGAGAAGGCGGGCGCCAACATGCCCAGGAGGTTGAGAGGACTGGATGGGAGGTTGAGACGGAGAAGTTGGTTCAACGCCGAGCACTGATCGTAGTGGAATGACAGTGGATCCATTGTGGATGCACTTCTTCACACTTGAGGTTTATATGTTTTTGTTTTTGAGTGTTTCAGGTGGATGCCCAACTCACCAAAAAAATGCGCGCCCACCGGATCGGTCGGGTACGCGCCAGGTGCTCCCGGAGAACGAGCGTTTGAAGGTGAAGGCTTCGTTTGGCAGCTCGTCCTTCCGTTGGTCGGTGTTGGTGACAGAGATAGATTTGCGGACTCAGACGTCCTGGACCCCTGCCACACACACAAATACAAAGCAAAGCACACGCACACGCACACCAGGATCATGGATAGAGTTCGTGTACGAGCAGAGGTTCCAAAGATGAAGCCGATTGACACCCCAAAATCTACAATTGTAAAGTGTTCCTTTTCCCGCACGAGCCAACACCAGACGATTTGTTTGTGTGTTTCTGAAGGGTCACTCGCTCAGAGGGGCACTTGGTAAAAGATTCTATGAGGAAAACGGTGTGTTTATTGGTGACCAGGTATGCCATGACATGCTTAAAACATCCTAAAACCAACTTAATGAACAAAGTAGAAGAGTCCAAAGAACTTCCATAGAATTCCAACTGGGAGATCGGAGGCATGTTTTTCTGGGATGACGAGACGCCTTTGCAGATCAAGGAGGGTCTAGAGTCTAAACGGTCTAGGGTTTCCTGGTCTTGGGCGAGATTGCGGTAGAATTGAATTTGAATGTAGGGTAGTCCATTCGATGGTCCAGGCAGAGTGTAGAGCCTGACAACAGGCCACGGACTTGTTCGTTTCGTCCGCACTCACCCCACCCCTCTTTCCTCACGCATAGGCCTGGAGAAGGTGGAAAAGGCCGTGGGTCGCGAGCGGAAGCGCTTCTGGCGTGACGACCCCCGGCGGCATTAGAACGGGTGGCTGGAGATGGAGTTCGATCCGAGCTGTAAGCCGAAACCAGCAACAGGTAGCAACAGCAGTAGCAACAGCACCAGCTGAGCATGGAAGATCTTTGGATCACTACAGGTTGTGGCATGTGTTTTCATCTTCCAAAGCTTTCTCAAGATTCACATCGTGGTCGCATGAACCTCAGGACCTCACAACCAGTCACGAAAGGTAGAAGAGCTACCTGAGCTGTCCTTGCTTTAGCAAGAATGCATTACAATCTGGAGATGGTGCATTGAGTTTGGTTCTCTAAGACAAGGTTCTTCTTCAGAGGCCGTCACCCCCTAAGATCAGATCACCTCTGCGCCGTCGCGGTTTGTGTGCAACATCAATATAAGTAAAACGATCTCCTTTCCCCTCCCGCCCATTTGCTACCTGCTACCTTTCCTTGCCTCCCCTCCTCCCCTCCTATCTCATGTCTCCATCCATCCACCTCCCTTCGTCCTGGCCGCCGATGGATGTGCCCAGGCCATCGAAGAGAAGACCCGGAACGCCGCATCCATCGGAGAAGTGGCCCCTAACCCCGCAGTCAGACCAGACCGACCGGATGCCGACGCCGAACGCACGATCGAAAACGGCAGTCAGAGCGGAGTGTTGGGGTGTGAACGATCCTGAAAGAGCGTGTAATTCCTATGGCTCCAACCACATCCTCAGAAGGTGGTTAGACCCCCCTTGCACCCACCCCAACCACCGAACCTCAGGAGGTGGGCCAGGAGCCCTAGGGAATTGACAGGCCTGGATAACCGTTCAAGTGCCCAACATGTGTGGTCGATTTGGGGTTTGTTGGTTGTGGAAGGTCGGTTTGCGCCGTTGGCACGTGCGGATGTTTGCAGTCGTTTGAGCGAATTGTGCATGCATTTTGGTACTCATTTACCTGTTTTTTCTGCCGTTGGCGCTTGATTTTTTTTGCGGTCATTTGCGCTCAAAAGTGGGTCAATGAGCAAAATTCTTGGACGTTGGAAGATCCAGGGTGTGTTTGTTTGCTGGCTGGCTGGTTGGTTTGCTGGTTGGTTGGTTGGTTGGTTGGTGGGTGGGTGTGGCCATTCATGGCCATTCTATTGTGATTTGTGTTCCATCGAGTCTATTGTAGACTTTGAGTGCTGTATGTCACGAATGCAGGTGATTTCGACATAGCAGACACAGAGGTGAGGTGTTCAGGTGAGATCGTTCTTTCACCAGACGAAGGACACTGATCGGCTTTCTCTTGAGAAAGGCCGAAAACAGGTTAGGCGCCTTTCTTTTGCCTGGTGATTTTCTGAAGCATGCAGGGCTGACACAAGATGAAAAGACTACGGCCAACCATCCAAGGTTTGGTTCTGTCCAATGGACGATAGTATATTCCCATAAGCATCCCACAAGCCGCATGATTGATTCCCTAGTTAAAGAGAACACTCAATATGCTGACTTGATTGATCCAGGGGCTGCACCGCTCAAAACCAGGCACAGGTTGCTCCGAATTGGAGCCATAGAAAGAGAATTGGTCCCTTTGCCAGGCATGGATTCTGCCAAGGACATAAAGAAGATCAAGGTGGACGCATACACTGGCGCCAAGAAGACTGAAGAAAAGGAGGAAGACAAAGCCCCTTTGCGTGCAAGTTTGGAAGATTGGGGTTGGCACGTTTGGGCTTGAGGTGGCTTGAGCAGTTGTGCATTCTATATGATTCAGCCACAAACCAAAACGGTCCTTAGCCTTGGCAGCAAGACTTGCTGATCATTCAGATTTCGGGTGCATATGTCAGGGAAAGAACATACACCAACCTTCTGGGGAGCTTTTTGGCTAAACTAGGACATCTAACATCATCTAACACATGTTTGTATATATATATATATATGGTCCCCCCCCCCCACGACCCCCCGACATGCTGTTTGTATTGTAATTTACAGTGTTTTATGCATATTGTTTGTATCGCAAAATAAAGCAAAAAAGTGCTACATGGTACCCTCCTTCACTAATATTCAGCCTCTTATATTATATGCTTCAAAATATAAGAAAAATAATACAACAGCAAAACACACACACAAAAAAAACAGCCTCATTGGAGATCTTGGGGAGGGCCCCTTGGACAAAACCAAAAAGACAAAAAAAAACAATAAAAACAAAAACCCAAAAACAACATCACCTCATGGGAGATCCTCCTATCCTCATATGTTTTTCTGTTTTAATGTTTTTGGATATCCTCCTATCCTGATGGTTTTGGCTCTTTTGGCTTTTTTGGTTTTTGTGTTTTTTTGTTTGTTTGTTTGTTTCTTGTCTTACCTTCTATCGCCCAAAAAAAACGAAAACTGGGATGTTGGCGCAGCCTTAGTCCATCAACCCTCGTTTGCTCTTTGTTATTCTTTCCTTGCCATGGCTTTGGTGCCTTGCTCAATTGCTGCGGCGAAGCCGAAGCAATCTCCGAAAGACGACTGGGAGTACCTTATCTGAATAACTGCTTGCCAAGCAACACTTATCTCAAATTCACATCACTGCCTGCATTCAAGTCTACAAGCTTTATCTATTTCATTCCATACCAGGTCGGACAGTATGGAGATGGACACCAGCGATGCGGAGCATCTTGTCTAAGCCATGTTTGTTTGGCATTCTCTGGCCTATAGCCTTCTGCTCATGTCACCCCATCTCAGGCTGGACGCCATGGACGTTGATGTCAGCGACGGGTAGCCTCTTGGATAATCCGCGGTATGATCTGCATAGGGCACCTTCCTTGCACCCCTGTCACCTCGCACGCCTCAGGTCTGACTTTGTAGATGACGTCGGCAACATGGTGCCTATGACTCCGCCGCACCTTTGGGGGAGATGGTTGCAGGGCGTCTTGATTTCACCATTGCCCGTCACTCCTCCGTTTTCACCGGGGACGCCCGAAGGGCCACCCCCCCCCTACGCCTCCCGAGGCTTTTTTTTCCTGGTGCACCTCCGGGGCCTCCTCCCCCAGGTGCTTTACCGGCCACCCATGGCTAACAAGTCCTTGGCTGGTCAAAATGTCATCTTGCATACGGACGGCGTCAAGACCTACAAGATGAAGGTGCCAGGTGTCCTGCACGACAATGTGGCGCACAAGAAGAGAAAGATGCTGGTCAAGGGCAAGCAGGTGTGGGTGAAACCCCACTACACAAAGATTTGGAAACACTAGCTTCCCTGTGGCAAGCGTGTGACCGTGAAAGCCGGCACACAAATCATTGACCGCTTCTGGGGCCACCTGCGCACCTCCCTCAAGTACGCCCCGCGCAAAGTCGGCTCCATTGCCCTGGCTCGTAAAATTCGAGCCGCGCAGTGGACGTACTGGCACCGGAGCCAGAACCTCTGGGTTGCGACTGGCCGGATGCTTGAGGATCTTCGTACCTAATCCTTCACTGGCTGCCAAAAAAGAGTTTGCTGCTTTGCGTCTACTGACAAGATGTCGTCAAACAGGTCTATGCTGTAGCATCTTGAGCCTACACCATACTTTCCACGCTTCATTTAGGATTACATGTCTGGCTTCGCATATCTGGCTTCCCCATCACCTTTGCATTTGCTGCCATTTCCACTACTGCTCCATAGGCAATATGTCCGACAAACACACACACCAAATCATTACCAAGGTTCCACATTCAATATGTCTGTCAAGTACCCATCAAACCAATGACAATACCCCATCTCCAATGTGTTTGCAGCCCTTCACAAAAGCAATGCAACCATCCACAAAACCAATGCAACCATCTACAAAACCAATGCAAACCAATGCAACCATCAAGAAAACCAATGGCTTGAAACTGACAATTTGGTTGCTTTGGGGGGGTCGTGGGGGGGGGCTGAGCATATATATATATATGACGATAGACATAATATATATATATATATACCTGGAACCCACTTGACCTTTGTTTTGAGCGTGGATAGGAAAAAGACCATATCTTGGGAGGTTGGTCCAAAATAGAGGTCATTCAGGTTCCCAGGTATATCTAAGAGCAACCACGTTGACATCAGCGCTCGTTTCAGCATCCATTCAGCCAGGTCCACCTTGGTGGCTCCAGGAGTTTCAGCTTTGACCTTCCGGTGCGCGCACCGGCGGTCTGGACCCGCCCCCCCCGAACCGGAGGACCGCCCCGCTCGGATCCACTCGGATCCGCTCGGTCCAGGGGCCCTTGAGACACGTGAAGGGTGAAGAGTCGCAAGAACATCGAGGCGTGGACGGCGAAAGCTCAGCTTTTTGGAGTTGGATTCGCTTTTCAAGGGGCGTTGACTCAATGATAAAAAACAGGGTTTTTGTGCTTAAAGCCATGCCAGCAGCTCATGACAACCATTATCTAACAATTAGATATACATGTATATACCTATCATCAAAAATGGCTTCTAGACTCAGACTCAGGACTGAGAACACATCAGGACACCCTTCTGCCCGGGTCAAGACACGCATGGGACCCCTGGGTTTCATGTTGAGTTTTGACCAGCGTTGTGCTCAGTTATGCCATGCGCGGGGGGGCATATGCTGGGCCAAACTACACCATTAGATGATCTGATGGCCTTCCCATGACAAGGTAGAGACCTCAGGAATACCAGCCGGATGATCCCCACTCGGGACCGACTTCGCGGAGCATTTGATTTGGCCAGGCGACGACAGCATGGCGGTGCCGGTGGGGGTGCCTCCGCGAGTTGGGTGGCTCAGGAACACACGGCAGGAGGAGTTTTAGTACATCTGAAGACTCCATGGGACTGGGGTTGAACAAGGAGGCTTCATGTTGGTTTATTGAGATTCGATGGGTTAGTTGGGATATCAAGAGCGGGTTCCAACTCGAGGAGGATCAAGGGGACCACTGAATACGTCCAATGCAATTCCATCATTTTCCATCAGGAGTCGAGCTCGTTTCATAGATTGTAGGTAAGCATTGGTCCCACAGTTTGCAAGAGGGTTACATATGACAAATGTGTTGTTTTCAAACCATGCTTTTACAAAAGGGGGTTTCATGAAAGACTGTGCTTGGAGTTTTCCCTGGCAAAGGATAAAAAACAATGCCCTCATTAGATGCATGCCCACATATGTTTGGATGATACTTGTCCATGTGCCAAACGCTCAAACAACACCCGACCGTCCAAAATTCATACACCCTAAACATCCGCAAACAAGAGCTATAGAACACTTCTCCGGGGAATCAGCTCTTATGAGGTTGCGATATGTTAGGACTCTGAGAGACAGAAGATTGTTTTGCACTCTCAGGCCCAATTTTGACCTAGCTAGAACTTTGTACCTACATTTGTGCGCTGAACGACTCCAATTGATGCCTTTTTGGGACGGGGAGTGGGACATTTGCTTTGGTGTCATGTTCAAATGAAATTGTGTTTCATATGCATGGATTGGGTTGTCCTTTTACCTGTAAGAGTTGGTAGACAATTGTCACTATTTTGGAGACAGGCCTGCAACCTAATCAACCAACATGATATGGTACAGTAATGGGATTTTACCCAATGCATGGACTATATATAGCTGGTTTCTCCCATGTGGATTCTCAGCAAAAAAAACAGACATACTTAGTTTTCTGTCCTAGATTCTCGCCGCAAAAAACGCCCGCTTGCAACAGCAAAGTCGCCCTTGCATCAGAGGCTGAATCCATGTTGGTTGTTTTTCTCCACCCTCATGGATTCCATCTTTTCAGAAATAAAGCACCTGCTTTCGCTGATATCCTATTGGGGGGTGATGCCACAATCTTCGATTGCCAGAAACTCCATAGGATTTGCTTTGGATTCCGCCGCCCCGACACCCCACGACACCGCGCCTCTCAGGTCCACATTGGCTCGGTGAACCCGCAGCAGGACTTCGAGCGTTGGCTCAACGAGCGCAAGACCGGGGGTCAGGACGTGGTGACTCCAGCCATCGAGTAGCTCGTCACCGAGCAGAGCTGGGTTTTCACGGTTTTCAGTCCTCCAAACCGATGGGTTTTCTGTACGTAGATGTTTCCTTAGACCAAATTTGTGAAGTGTGGGGTGTGTGTGTGTGTGTGTTTGAGAAAGTGGGATGCAGGATTGGAGGTTGAAAACGTTGGAAGAGTGAAGAGGTATACGCCGACTTAAATTTTTTCAAGTGTTATCTCGATGCAGCCTCAGAAGACGTGGGTTTTGTGGAGGCAGCGTTTCGACAATCGCGACACGTGTGTAGATGCAGGTCCAATCCGTTCCACCTTCGGTCCAATCCGTTCCAAAACGAACGCGCCGTCCTGGCACCGCCTCGTTGGGTCCACCCGAGGCAGATGTGCAACGTGATTCTTCGCTTCGCAGAGGAGGGTGAGGAGTTTCATGGCAAGGCGCTGAAGACACTGGGGAGACCAACCTATACATGGGAGCGTCTAGGTATGGCTTTATTTACTTTGCATTCGCTCACACTTGACCAATTCGATGGTGTTTTTCTGTACCAGGATGGAAAAAACACATGACTCACATTGGATGGCTCGTCCATGGCTCACACCATCCGTCACCGGGCTCATCCATCCATGACGCCGGGGCACACCATCCGGTTCCCCAAGGCGCTGGGCTGTTTGGCCACCCTGCGGCGGGGCTGCGTGCGCCACTGGGACCGGCGAACGATCCGAGATCGAAGCCTGGGGGTGGTGGTGATGGCTTGCTCAACATAGCTTTGAGAGAGATGCTTTGATCTGGTGGTTTCAGAGATGTTCAGATCTCTTTACTTGAGATTTCGAGATTCATATGGAATCGCGCCGCTGATTCATTTGAAACCACCGACCAGTCAGCATGTGTGGCAACGCAACCTCCAGTGGTTGCCACGCACCTAGGGGAGGGCAAATACTGGGTCTATGACCGTAGACCTCACCACTGGGAGAATTGGCGGGCGGGCCGGAGACGTCCTGCACCAAGTAAGTTCACCGCCACATGCCAATACATGGAGTGTTCCTCTCAAGTGGTGCAGGGTTTCTTTCTTCAACAGGCCGAGGGCAAACACCTTTAACCTTTAACCACTCGGTGTTGAAGTAGCGAGGAGGTATTTAGAGCCCTGTGGATGAGGTGAATGTGTTAGGATTTGAGGATAGGTTGGTTGGACCACACCAAAAGGACCAGGGAATTGTCTGGCTGCCTGGCTGGCTGACGGCGCAGGGCCACAAAATGGTTGTTTGGGTGGTGGTTTCAGACATGTTTTACTTTCAACCTTTGCTTGCGATGATTGAGCCCACTGACTACTATTTTTCAAGTTGAAACCACCAATTCAACCAGGTATGGCAGCATTATGCTTCGAAAAAGGCCAGATATAACCACACATGACCAATCGAGGCCGGTCTAACCCTGGAACAGGGAGATCTGGAGGGTGCTGGCAGTTCGGTTTCAGCCGCTGTCAAGGTGAAGCGGAGGTTGCGGGCTACAACGAGCGCCTAGTCTTGTGAAAGGCCTCCATGGCTTACCATTTGCGGACCACATGGACCCCGGGCAACACCAAGGGTTTTCATTTTGTTCGGGCCTACTCTCGAAACCGACTTGACGACATGCTCAATGACTCAAGATGGCTGAATTGGTGACTGGCCAATCCCAAAACTCCCACCTGCAGCTCCATCATTCCCTACCCAGTCAGTGCCAGTCAGTGGATATCTTAAGCCTCTTCGGGGGACTGGATTCCACACACTAAGAACGAACAGGTGGAGAGGTTGGGTTTGGTTAGCCCTTTTGCCCAGGCAAAGTGAGGGAGCCAGGAATGCTGCCATTCTGGCTTTCACATATGGCATTTCATCGATGCACATACTGCAATCACAAAACCACCCCCAATGCTGGCATCTATACCATGCATGTGCCATACACGTTTACACTGTAACAACTTATATAATATACATTATGTTACATTGGTACCCTCAACATTGAGTGTGTGCCGCAATGTGAGTATATTGTATATACACCAATGTTGGCATATAATATACTACCAAACCCAAGCCGGCAAGCAATGTAGGGATGTGTGTGGGAACCACTCTCAGCTGCAGCTTCCACAGACCGGCAAGCCATTGGCATTCCTGATCTTTGGTGATTGTGGGCTGCTACGGAAACTAAAGAGAAGTGATGATTTGAATTGATCATATATATATATATAAATATACACATACTTAATATGCAAAAGTAATGTCCATTGAACAGTCTACACAACTTGACCTAAGGTCCTACCAAGCCCGCAAGTCTGGTGACGTCCTCCGTGTGTTCTTAAAAATGTTCTTTTAAAAAACTCGACGCTTCAGTGTCTTCTGGAGTTCCGCTTGAAGCGAGTCTCAGTCTCGCAAGACCCCACCAGCTCTTGTGCTGGGCACCCTCAGACTCGTACTTAGTCAGGAATGAGGGAATGATCTACCCCGGTAGATACCTCAGGACCCTCAGGATCCATTCCCTTATTCCTTCCTAAGCACCAGCCAGCAAAATGGCTGTCATGTCCCAACTCGGGTCAAACCACCGGTTCCCATCCAGTTTTGGTGCTTTCTTCTTCGCCCGAACAGTCTGTCGCGTTGGGTTTTGTATGTGCCACCCAAACACTATATAGATTTAAATTGAATTCAATCAATGTTTTTTTTTGATGAAAGTGCACACATATATATATATATATTATAATCAGAACTCCTGTTTTTCGTTGCTTCACCCCCAAGTCGTCCCCCTTTTTGGGCCGGTTCCATTGGCTCCATCCGCACCGGCCCGGGAACCTGGAACTGCGAGGTTCCTTCGGAAGCTCCGGCTGCGGCTCACCCGGCGTCAGGGCATGCTTTGGGAACGTGCTGCTCAGGCGGCTCGTGAGCGAAACCACCGGGAAGACGGGCCAACGGGGGATCGGTGGGGTGGGTGCCTGAGTTGGGTGATCGACTGGTAGTGACGTTGTCTTTGTTTTGGAGTCGGTGCGCTTTTGGGGGAATTCAAGATGGTTAAATGATTTGTTTGTTTGTTTGTTTGTTTGTTTTTTTTGTTTGTATGCATGTGCGTTGCATAGTTTGTGCACGCACATTGTTGGCAGGAATTAGTTTCTTAGTTGTTTAACCATATAAGTTACTGTAACCGTGCCTGTTTGGCTCTGCTTTTGTGGTTTCATTTTGCTGCATCATGGATATCACGGGTGTCGATCCGGCCCAAAACCCGCATGGCGGCACTAGGAGTCTTTACACACATACCCAAGCACTCCAAGTATGAAACATGGAACATTGACCCCTGAAACCACGCCAATGTAGACACATATTGCATATATAAGGAGTATTTGGGAAATCATCATGTAATCATTATCAAATCCTTTTGATGGGGGCTCAATGGTAGGAATTCGTTTGAAAACTAAATTCGCGGGAGCCACTATTTCGTGCCAGTGCTCCTCATCCACCTATAGCTATAGGGTATAACAAGCCTATAACCAAGCAGCCTTAGCGGAACGAGCAACAGTCACTTAGCACCTCCGCACCTCCGCACGTGACTTGGGCACGACTTCCATGTGGCGTGTTTCTCGGTGCGTTGAGTGCAAAGCCGGACCTCTGCACAGGTCCACAGGTGCTAAAAAAGAAAATCCCCAGACGCATCCAGTTCCGCTTCCCGTGCAGGACAAGGGCTTGGGCTTGATCACTGATGCAGAGGTCGTCGCTTGGCCAAGTAGAACATGGATGGACCGGGACGGAAGCAGAGCGACCTCGCTTTTCGACACTTGCTCCAGGGGGTCCTGCGAACAAAAGGTGATTGAAGCTTTCGCCAGCCATTGACATGATTCACTTTGGTTCAGTGTGATTTGCTGGTTATAAATTTAAGTGTTTTTGTCCGGTCAAACGGGGTGGTTTGTTTGTTCTGTTTTGCGGTTCGCGCTTGTTCACGGTTCTTGTTCACAGTTCAAGACCTATCAATACCTTATGATGAGGTGCCCAACCAAAAGGAATCCTATGACCAGATCACTCCCCCCTCCTGAAGAGCAAAGCAAAGCCTTGTCTTTTTCTCCAAAAAACCGAAGAAACCGCTGCCGCTCCTTGTCTTCCCCCTCCTGGATCTGTCCGCTCCGCTCCCAGATCCCTCGTCCGCTTTCGCCTTTGGCGAGGTGACCAGTACGGTGACGGCGGAGGAGGCCCAAGCCTTCCTCGAGGGCCGGGAGCTGTCCGGGCCCACGGCGAGCAGCTCTGCAAGCGCCACGGCGCCAGGCGTTCCCGGGGTCGGGTGGGGTGGAAAGGGTTGGAGTGGTTCGGGTTGTTTTTGTAGTTTCTTTTTTTTGGTTGGTTGGACTCAGACACTGCATCAACGACTGTATGGAAATACCTATAGGATCCTAAAGGCGTTTATTTTTGCTCCGGCTGTGAAA